CATGCATAGCAAGAAAGCAAGCATATTTTGAAACCAATTAATCAATTTTTGTAATAATTTACAATTGTTTTGTTCCTTTAGAAAAAACACTGTGTTGTCACTTTTAAAACAACTTATTATTATTCTTCCTTTATTAATATGCTTGCTGTCTGACTTTTTTAAAGATTCAAAGGAGGGATATACATTTGAATAAAATATTTTCAAGCAATTAATCATTCTAATGAATGAACTGATATGGAAATTGATTGTTCTCATCTTCTTCTTTTTAGATCTTAGATGAGTTTTGCAATGTGAAGTTCTGCATAGATGCTAGTGAACCAGATGTAGGAAGCTGGCTCAAGTACATCAGGTTCGCTGGCTGTTATGATCAGCACAACCTCGTTGCATGCCAGATAAATGATCAGGTATGTTGTAAAGATTTTCTTGTCTTTCTTCGAAAGCACTAAAGTATCAGTGAAGCCTGAAGAATAAAAATAACAGTGAGCTGCAGTAGACCCTTGTGGCCTGTTTGTTGATATGGTGAAAGGTAACACACAAATATAAGTAAGAAGTAGAATAAAGTCATTTTCAGTACTATTTTTGTTCACTGCTACTTTTTTGAGTAGTTTATTCACTTTGTACCAGTAAACTTCTTAAAAGCTCTAGTTTTCTGAACATGATTGAATGGCTGAAAACTGAGTACTAATTGTTGCTAGCTGTTTTTTTTTCTTTACTATCATAACAGAGAGACATTCATAGAAAATATTGAGCTAATCAAGAATACTTTGTGAATTTACACAGAAACTGGAAGAGATATCCTTACAATATAATATAGGTTTTATTAGACATAGTAGATAGAGATATATATATTATCCATGTGTGGACTTATCTGATTATGCATTTTATACTGATTTGCCTAATTATAAATGAGAAACACCTTTAGATTAATCAAAATACTTTTTTTTGGTATATGTAAAAAATTTAAACATATCACTGTTGGAAATTGCTTTATGGAGGCCCATGCAGCGAGCTTAACTTTACTAATAATAACTATGAAATAAGATCATGAAAATATCATAAAACATATTTTGCACTCAGTAAAGTTAGATTATGAATCTTGTAACTGAGCATGACAATACCTAAAACAATAAGAAGTTCAGCCTGTTAATTTTTGTTTTATAAACATCGTTGAGTTAGAATTTAATTATGTTATCATTGTTTATTTCTTTTAACCCAATGTTAACTTAAATCAAATTACATTTCAAAGACCATATTAAAATAGTTGCTTGGCCAATCTATGAAAATCACCACCAAGAAAAAGAAAAGTTTAAATTAGATGTTTTCGATTGAAAGCTGTTAAGTAATGCTAGCGTCATATAGTCTAAGACTCTATTTCAGTCATCATTATGAGATTATTCTTTGGCATTTTACCAGCTATCAGATAATTTTTACTGACTAAACTGTATAAGAGGTAGTAAATTGTAAAATTAGGTTTAAATGGGAATCGTTTAAAAATCTTCAACATGTATCAAAAATCATAAACCAATCAATCGTTTTTTTCCTTTTGCTGTAAGAAAACAAGAGGCATTATTGACAAAGGAAAATATTATTAAATTGCTTATTGATTATAAGCACAAAATATCCTAAGTTTGTCATATGAGTTACTGTCATCATCAACAACAAACATTTTTTGATCACCCACTATTTGTAGATGTGGGTAATACATAGGGGTTGTAAATGAGTGAATTGTTTGTGGTATGTTTCCTAAAAAAAGAAACTAAAGGACCTCGAAAAGCAGCTATAAGATGAAATAATGTAATTCTATTATAATAATTATTTACTATTCATATTTACTTATAATAAGAGCTATTTCCTTAGACAGATAAAATGGTTGTAGGATCAGTGAAAAGGTCGTTTAAGAATTAGACTGGTGGCCAATTCATTTTTTCATTTATTATTTATGTGTCTAATATTTTATAATAAATATACTCTTGTTATTGGGAATCTTGATTGCATTAAAAGGGGAAACTATTTTGCTGTTTCTGTCTGAATTCGATTGCTTATTAGAGGAGGCATTTATAATTTTTAATGTAGTTACTTTTGAGGCTCACATTGTCAAATGCATTGCTTTCAAAAGAAAATATGCTAGTTTCATACTTTAATGAAGAACCAGGGAAATAATTAATCAGGAAAAACATAAAAGGCCAACATTAGACACATACTTATTATTTCTGTAAGTACTTATTTTCAACTCATGTATTATGCTGGCAGAAATTTAAGATGGTAACAGAGTGCATATCAAATAACATAATTGTGAAATTGACATTACATGGTCAAGTAAGTTCACCCATAAACAACGAGAGTGGAAAGTCAGAGGTAAAAGTCAGATTTGTGTGATAGGCATTATAGGCATACAATCACACTTAGATCAGTTGATACCTAAATAATGTATGCATGTATTATAAACATATTCATCTATAAGCCTGTATGCATATTTCTAAAAACCAAATAAGACTAGCAATTTCAGACAGCTTTGAAATGTGAATGCTGGAATAGGTACAATGATAAAAGAGCTGACTAAAGAGATTCTCTAGGTCTATTTTTTCTTTCTCTTTTTCGTGAGGAATAGGAGCTGCCAAATGGCGAATAAACACAACTCATCACATAATGAACATTCTCATTGTAGGAGAGAATATTTACTATACAGATATAAAGAGAGACCCTGGGTCAGGAGTAATTAGTAAACATGAACAACATCAACTCACCTGTACAACACAAAAGCAAATGAAACACTCTGCAAGAAATTGCAAAAACTGTTTCTCTTTGCTCAGATTATCAGATAGAGCTCAAGTTCATAAAATAAATTTTAGTAACATGTCAGGTATAAGTCTTGGACTATAAAAATGAAGAATTTCATTGAGTCTTTCAAACACAGTCTAGTTCCTGTAATAATTAGGATATCTAACAAAGATGGGAAAAGAGGACCCAGAAGAAAACATGAGAGTGTAAATTAGAGTTTATTTTGCAAAGATACAGATTTAAAAAAAATTCTAATGTTAAAATCAAGTTTAATCCATTTGGATTAGTTATTTTAATGATGCAGAGGAGTTCTATAAAAGAGAAAAAAATGTACTTGCTAAGATGATAATACAGTTTGACACTCAAAACATGTATACTGGATAAAACCCATATTTGATTTGTTTAGGGATGAAGAAGTACTTAGAAACAGCATGGATTTTCAAGTAAAGTTGATAAAGGATTTAATCTTTTGTATCATAAAAACAAAGGCCATTCAATGAACATTTTTCTAATACCTATCTACAAGCATTTTATCTGAGGGAATTTTCCCGAGTTTAAATTTTTCAATAGAAATCTCTGAGTTATTTTATTTCAGATTTTTATTTTTTCAGACCAGGGTTAGCTTTGTGGCAGCTTTTTTTCTTGACGATGCTGCCTAGAAAGACTCAACTTATTGTTTTTAGATCTCTTTCATTTCATGTTTTCAAAATTATTGCAGTAATGTTTTTAGAGACAGAAATTCTGAAAACACTGGCAAAACTGCTAAGCCACAGTAGCTGTAGCTTCTGACTGACATCCTTATTTCCCCTGAAGATATTGTATTAACTATAGTAATTTGTCTTTGTAAAAGAAAGCTACACCAAAGATACTTATAAATTAAGACCATAATCATACCCATGTCATAAAATAATAGATGCATTAAAAACACTTAAGGCTCTTCATCCTTGAAGTCTTAATGATTTTTTCCTTTATTCCTTAAAGTTTCTGAAAAGTGCTACATAGCTATATTGCTGTGGCACAGTGTCTAGCTGAACATTTTTACTGAGACAGACAATGCTTCAATTTTAATAATGTGAAATTGTCCCTGTTTGCTTTCAGGAGCAAGAACTGGCACTGAGAGGTAGAATAGGGCAGGAGCAAAAGCAAAGAGTTGGATGACGAGAGCTCTTTCCAAAACAGGTCTTTAAGAGGACCAAACATGCTGAGGAAGCATAAAAATGGTTTATTAATTATCTAGAGGTTTCATTTACATCTGGAAGTACCCATGTGTTTAATGTCAAGTAGGCCAAACGTCTAGATGATTTACTGAGGGTTTTTTCATTCTGAATATTTCGATGTCCTTTCCTTTGACATCTTGTAGATATCTTACTTTTATAAACCAATTTGAGGGTTGGATGTAGCACGTTGTTTTAGGTTTGATCTCACCTTGCTCCTGCCTATCCCGTCCTTTGATAAGTTTCTTCATACCTGCACATTTCTATACCCTTCACCTAAAACAAAGGGAAGATGACCCATAGATCCCCTATCCACCTCAAACAATGCCAGTTCTCATCTCAGATGTGTTCCTAAGTTTTGAGTACTTATGGAATAGCTCTCTGGATACAAGTTTTCCTCTAATGCTTCTTTACAATGAAACCATACTTAGTGACATGGTTATTATCATGTCACTAAGGCACAATTCATGCCAGTTGATTTTTTAGACTTAAACAAGACCTGCTTTTCCACACATGATAATTAGAATGACCTGAGTGTGTACTTTGGGGTAACATTTTATATGTGTATATGTATTCTGCATCATAAGAAGGAACATGATTTCATTCAAATGTCTGGCCTGCCCTAACATGGTCTAAGAGTAGAATAAAGTTCTCAGAAACCCAAGGCATTATTAATCTTGTCATTTACACAAGGTGATAAGTCCTTTCATTTTTAAACAAGCCCTTGACAGCTGGTATTTAGTAAGTAGAATAAGAGAAGTCTGCTGTGCACTCCGAATAAAAAGAAATGTGTCGATAAGAAATTATCTGTCTGATGTGTATTTTGAAATAAGATATAGAAGAACGAGTGCCCCTCAGAGAATACAAGGTTGGAATTCAGTTAGGAGATTCTGCCAGCCCTCTCGTGGTTAAAGAACAGCAGCAAGATTCTACAGTGTTTTCAGTTGGAACAGGCATTGTTCTCGTTTGTGCTTTACCTTATAAAGTTTTAACTGCTTCCAGGACGATCATGGCTGAGTTGGCACACCCGTTTTCCTTCTCCTTAGGTCCATGTCAATGATTCTGTCAGAGTGCGGTGACACTTGAACAGTATTATTATTGCAAGCTTATTATGGGCTCAATTATCAAGTTATTTTCTTTGGCTTTTTACTGAGAAAAATAATGTTTTCCTGCATCATCCAATTCATGCAGTTTATGCAAAGAAGAGGAGAAGAGCAGCTATGTAACAAGCAAAATGTAATTTGTTAGCCTCTTTCCACTTATAAAAAATGTTTGCGTAGACTGTCAGGTAATTTGTTAGTTTGCTCTTCCTTTACAAGGATTTTTGTCCACGTTTTCTATAACCTCTTTTGATGTTAAAATTATTATTGGCTTTGGGCATTTTCTTTGCTTTGCTTTTAAGTCAAGTTCCA